TATCTATTCTATTTAGTCGAACCACGTTTCACGTTTATGTTCACGGTTACTGTGCGTTTTACACGTTAAAGACTTTTGTTGAAATTATATACTTGAAATTATCGTCTCGAGTTTGCGATCGTGTATTTCGTTGCCGTTGGTTTTGTCAGAATTTGTTTATATTCTGAACTATTTCGCCACGTGCGTTTGGAGCGTTTTCCAACCGATTCATCAAATTTTCTGACTATACTCACACGTAAGCCTACGAACTGAATTTGGTCCTCTCGTTTAGAAGTAGTGAGGCTTACAACTATTATACGAGAGCTGTAATACAAATTATTTCGTTTTGTTATTGTATAGCTAAAACAATTATTCTCATCAGTAAAAGGATATTCGGTGAATATCCTTGCACTATGCATCTCCACTTCATGTCCTTCATGGCCAAGAACAAGAATTTTTGGAACGGACAATATATATTTTTTGCACTGAGAAATATTTAGAACAAAATTTGAACAATACTTATTAAAACTTAATTTCAAGGTATTTGTAGCCAACGTGCAGTGCAGAATGAACCGGCCCTGCATTCTACTCCAGCTAAATACCGCGAACGTATTTATATATTTATATTATAACTATATAAATACTTATTTATATATTTATAATATAAATATGCCTATATTTGTTTTCCCGCGCATTACAATCATGTGATCACAAAATTCCTGGAAAATCGCCGTACTTTCCTATCTATTTATATAATTCGAGTGCAAGAAGAAATAAAATCTTTATTGGTATATGCCAATAACTCTTTTTATTAACGTTTGCCATTTTTAGCAGTTCGCGTTAGACATAAAACTGACATTTGAACTAAGATTATTTTCGGGTAGGTTGCGCAGCATTTTTCGCGTAGCAGAACGAAAACGTTCAACAGATCAGTAAAATGTTGTTATAAATGTTCAACAATAACAAAGCATCGAACTTTACTCACAATTAGGTTATATGCAGATCTAACTTAGACAAGCGACGTAATTCATAGCGTATAGTAACGAGTTATATATTCTATATAAGGCAATTGGGACAAACTGTTAAAATATAGATCGCTATACCTTAAAACGATAAAAAAATAATCGAAATATTTTTAAAAGTAAGCTAAAATATTGTCGAAACTTTTATTCTATGACAGTTTTACTGCATTACTGCATTTTCCTAAAACTTCAAGAATACGAAACGTTTTCGGCAATTTGTTCGAATTTTTATGGCATTTTTATGGCACGGGACCCGCTACAAAGCATCGTTTCAAATAACGAATACAGAATCTCATTGGCTGTCATTGACTGGAAATGTTTTGAAAGCCAACCAGATTGACTGGGCTTGTCTACGCAAAATCAAAATGTGTGGTAGGAACCTGAATCAGAGCAAGATCATGCAGGGGCGCTATAACCGTTTTTCTGCGCCCTGGTTAAAGAAATGAAACAAATTTCCACACCCGAGATTCAAACTGTTCAGAATCTAACAACTTCAGCATCAAACGAAAGGGTGATTCTCAGTGGCGCCGTGGGTCCCATGTTTTTGTTCGGGGGGGGGGGGGGACAAACCAAAAATTTTCCCGCCCGACGACATTTTAAATCTTCCCCCCCCCCCCGTCAACAACTTTGACAATTTCCGACAACATTGACAATTTCCTGACGGGTCTCAACAATAGGGGGGCCATGCCCCCCCCCCTGGCCCCCCGGCCACGGCGCCGCTGGTAATTCTGCGAAGATTTTAGTTCTGGAGGGGTGTTTAGAACAGTGCACGCGCATACGAGTTATTATATAGTGAGTTTAAGATACCCCGGTTTCGGTGTACGGGTACGGGTAGTGTTATCGTGTTTACTAGTTTTTACTGATGTCTGCAATTCGATCATACTTCTTCTGTTCACCAATAGTATAAATGCGAAAAATGTGCACCTTAATTACGAGTAAAAGTACAGACATCGACGAAAATATTGCGAACCAAATTTATGCTACCCGTACTCGTACACCAAAGCCGGGGTATCTTAAACTCACTATTTACCGATATACCCGATATATTTGGTAGTTGCATCATAATTATCTGCAGCCTAGCGGGTTTGTTAGAAACCTAAGTAATAATAATTTTCAAAACTAGTATAAAAATATTCTAATATTCTAGGTTCGTAATATTTGAAGATAATGCGCTTAAACCGCATATACCCGTGCTTTAGTTTGAGTACTTACAACGAAATAATATTTTCCATGCTGAAATCAAGATGGTAGCTCCCAGAGTTAGGGACATCTCTAAAGCTAGCTAAATTAGCTTGATGAATACGGAACTCAAAGGTATCAAACAGAGATATTTCAATGTCTACGTGTGACTCGTTGAGCGCATTTTGATTCCAGGTTAACACCGTTGTGGTCGAGTTTGCCCAATGTTCCACTTCTAACCCATCTACATCTGGAGGGTTTCTACCTAAAGGAACTAAAACAAAAATCATGCATAATTGTATTCTTTTTATTAAATACCTGTCGTCGCCAGAAATACATATGACTTTTGTGGGCAAAGCCTTACAAATCCTTAGGACATGCATTATACCGTATATAACAAAATGGTAAAATGGAATGGGTCAAAGTAACTTATCAAATTATGGACAGCATACATGCAGCATGCATCCCTGTTCGACATTTTAAAATATTAATATTACGAGGCCAAGAAGATCCGCAATTAAAATGACTTCCCATTCATTGTATGTAATTTGTTGATCTAGTCCTCGATCACTATCAGATTTTGTACTAAAAAATTTCCTCATATTGTATGCAAATTAAATCGAATAAAAAATGTAACTCACTTGATCGAAAGGTGCCAGAATAGTTAAATGTTGCACCACCGTCCAATGACAACTCAACTGGGATGCGACCAACAACATATAATGGAGGAGTGATACAATATGCTTGTTCTGGACTGATATACACAGCGGCAGCCTCAATAGTCTTGTTGAACCGACATACAATTTGATTATCAGGTTTATAACAAGGTCCACCAATAAACATTTTAGTTCCTCCTAATTCAATTCCTGATCTCGGCGAGAGCACCAGACCTATGCATATATTTTGAAAATATTTTCAATGTTGACGTAATAATTTTTGTACGACAGTTTAAAACATTGCATGCATAATTACAAATCAAAATAAAAATAAAGCATGTATAATTACAAATTTAAATCGCCTATGTTGTACATAGATTTAGTTCCAAATTTCATCATCATCAATCAATTTTTTTTAAATGAAAACACGCTAGCCTCGCACAACTAAAAGCTGATTTACAGGAGGGGCGTGATATATAAAGCAGTGAAATTTATAGAATATTATATAAACCCCAACC